ACAGAACAGCACAAACAGAATAAAACGTGCACAGAGATCAATGCGTTGAAAGGGATTTGAACCCACGATCCCAGCGTTCGAGCGAGCGCATAGACCGCGCGGCCAAAGTCATCGCCAAGTCAAACATAAGATTTTTAAATTTACAAACGGAGAGACGGAAAAGCCCTGCAAATCATACAGAAGCACAGAAGAACCGCAGATGTTGGCAAGAGATTTTTGTAGTCTCTTTTCTATCATGAATCTCCACTATTTTTTTTTCTGGTACTCGTCCTCCTTTCATCTGCTTCTCGCATATACGATTTCATATTTTCTCTCCAAAAGAAAAGATCTTTCATAAAGAGTGCTTTTTTAATTAAGGAGAGTTGTTCTAACTGACGAGAAATGTGTACCATATGTGTTATGAACGGGAGATATAAAAAGTGCACAAGAAAGCCAAGCAATTGCTCTTGATTGAAATCTTCGCTGCAAGAGACGGGGACGTGTACGGCTTTTAACGTCCTTCTACTGCCTATGCAAGGAGAACCTGATTGTCTCACCAGGCCATGACGTTGCGTCCGTAACTTTGCTTCTACAAGGTATGACGTTCGACGGGTGGATGAAGTCTACGCCTGCGCACATTCTTTGTGAACCTTATGACGTAAATCAGATCGTCATACATATTGTCACGTGTATGAGTGACTACAAACTGGGTTTTGATTGGAAATTGGATATTTGACCACTTACAGGTCGTAACTACAGCGCTATCGCTAATTCAAACACTGCAGTTCACTACAGCACGTACTGAGTCTTCTCAGTCTGCTGTGTCTTCACCAGTGGACGTTACCCTGCTCCCGGGCTCACGGCCTCGCAGGCTGGCTTCCATCTCACAATTAACTGCCGTCTCAAGACACTCTCGTAATCGCAGTTGCTACCGCTATATATCCTCGACGTGGACCGCACAGAAAATACCTCTCCAAACATGTTTTATTATTGCGTCACGTAGCTATTTTATGGACCGCGTAAGATCGCTCTCAGGTTACTCCATTGTTGAGTGTTACAAATCTGTTGCCTAGAATCGGTGTCTTTGCAGAGCCGTTCCCTAGCAACGGCTGTCTCTGCTGGCTTCACAATTCTTGCTTTGAGCAAACATGTCACAGAATTAATACTACCCGAGCAGGTTTGTGTAATGGTAACGCTGTAGGCCTGTGTTCATGAGATGTTCGGATTGCATCTGGGCCGAAATACGGGTCTCCTGATGACCTTTCTTTCTAAGTGCCTCCAGCAATACAGCACAAGCTATTCAAGCAGCCCTCAACTTCACGGAAGCTAGCGGTACTCATCATAACCAGGAGTTTTTTTTTGGTCAATTTCCGAGTTATTTCCGGTCCCACATAAAGCCAGGAACAGAAGTGAACACGCAACGGACTCACCCTGCGGTAGCGAAGTGCCCTATAGCGTGAGGTCACTGAACGGAACGGAAAGCAATAGCCACTAAGTTCGAGCACAGCCCACTGCATTTGCTAAATCGCAACACGCAGGTTAACAGCTGTCCCTACTGATCACCCATTTGCCACGGCATACCTCAGCCCTCCACCAGTTGTCCTAAAGCTCATCTCGTCCTTCAGAGTCCACTAAATTATTACCTTCTTAAAAATGTTCACTGCCGGTAGTCGGGATAGCTCAGTCGGTATAGCGACGATCTACAGGCTGGACGGCCGGGGTTCAATTCCCGACACGGACAACGTATTTCTCTTCTCCATAGCGTCCAGGCTCGATCTGGAGCCCACCCAGCCCCCTATCCAACAAGTACCTGAGGTGATCTCCCCGGAAGTAAAGTGGCCGATGTGTGAAGCTGACCGTTCACCTCCGTCACTTGCAAGCGGAAAGGTGATGTAGTGAACACTAGAAAGAGCTGTTGGTCAATGCCGATGATGTGAATCTACTGGGTGATAATGTAGATACCATAAAGAGAAACACACAAACTTTAAGTGACGCAAGTAAAGAGGTTGGTCTAGAAGTAAACACAGAGAAAACTAAGTATATGTTTTGCTGTCTCGTCACCAAAATGCAGGGCAAAATCTTGACATAAAGATAGGAAACAGATGTTTTGAAAATGTGGCACAGTTCAGATATTTGGGAACAACGATAACAGATCGAAACCTGGTTCAGGAGGAAATTAAGAGGAGATCGAACTCCGGTAATGCTTGTTACCAAGCAGTCCAGAACTTTCTGTCTTCTTGCCTGCTGTCCAAAAACATAAATATTAGAATATAAGAAACTATAATTTTGCCCGTGGTTCTGTATGGGTGTGCTTCATAACTTTTACTTTTCTCTAAGGATAATTAGGATGATCAGGTCAAAGGGGATGAGCTGGACAGAGCATGTAGCACGAATGGAAACTAGAAATGCACATAGGATATTGGTGTGAAAGTCAGAAGGAAGGAGACCACCAGGACGACCAAGACGTATGTGGGGTGAACCTTAGAGAGATAGGATGAGATGGTATGGGCTGGATCGACCTGGCTTAGGGTAGTGACAAGTGGAAGGCTCGTGTGAGCACGGTAATGAACCTTCGGGTTCCATAAAATGCTGGCAGGTTCTTGAGTTGCTGCACAATTGGCGGCTTCTCATGAAGGCCTCAGTTCAATGAGTGAGTGTCTAGGAAGGAGAAGGAATTTCAACTCGAGTTACAGAAAGAGTGACTATTAACTACACGAAATTCTCCTAGAGACTTTTTTTAATGCTAGTGGGGTGGGACTAAGTCCCTTGTACTGCGGCCACTTCTGGCCTATTGTACCAGCCCCAGATGATAGGTGAGGGTGATTGTGGAGCAGTTGGTGGAATGAAGATTGGCAGGGGAAACCGAAGTACTTGGAGAAAACCTTCCCCAGCGCCACATTGTCCACCGCAAATCCAACTTGACCAGACCCGGGATCGAACCCGAGCGGCCGCGGTGGGAAGCCTGCGACTAACCGCTTGAGCTATGGCGCGGCCTCTCCTAGAGACTTAGTTTGCGTACAGGGCTTCCATTTTCCACTCATGTAAATAGCTTCACTCAGCAGCGCACGTCCAGACACTGCCAAGCCCCGATGTGCTCAATCTCACTCTGCAGGGTCTCTCGAGTCCACTCCACTTACTGCAGACATTCATTTCCTTTCACATTCACCCCGCTATCAGCATCCTTTCAATCTCCTATTCCTACTTTCTCGTGCTATTTAGTTTATCTCCCTGAATGTAATTTAACTTTTTATTCTACTCGCTCTGTTGTTGCCAGCTGTCGACTCCTGCTGCTATACTAAGTTTAAGTTAGGATTCAGCATGACCTTGAATGCGCAGAAATATGATAAAATATTCTCAGAAGATCTTCCATGACAATGTTGAACTAAAATTCAACGTTTCAGAAATGTTTTCCACCTCCATCATCAAGGTTGAGATCGCCTGAGAAGATTTTAGTGCATTTATTTGCCGTTAAAGCTTCAAATCTTTCGCGAGATCTGAAGCAGAATTTATAAGAAAACTTATTACTAAATACAGGAATTCGCCATTGCCTACCCGGAAGCCACTGTCACTATTATTCTGCCCATTTCTTTCCCTACTGTAACATCCGCTGACAATTGACGGACAGTGTTATCATTTGTAAGATTTGAGGTTTTCACTGCGGTAACTATGAAGAAAGCGGTCTTCTGGGATGTGACACCGTGTAGATGTGGTGTTAACCGACGTTTCGGAGGAACGTATCGCCTCCATCTTCAGGGTAGAAGCACACTGCTTGTACCGGTTCTCACGGTCTCTTCGCTTGCAGATTTCTTATTTTTCCTTCTACAAACAATAAATAGTAATACGCATCCGCGGGGAGGGAGGTTGGCGTGACTAATAACAATGGGTTCTAGATTAGGTATTTGGATTTACTGGTACTCTTTATAATTTCGTTCAATTACGAAAGCTCACACTCAGTGACTGTCTAAGGCTCGCTCAATTCCTTACTGGAGAACGGGCGTCCTCTCTTCCGCTGTGACGAATGACGAACGAAGAATCGCTGCTCACATATAGAACTGCCTTGAATGACGTCTGACTGACGAATTAACCGCTACTGGAGAAACCAAGTTCTCCTCTTTTCACATGAAATGTAGGGCAAACAAACGAAGGGGTCCTGGAAGTAAATACCTATACGTGGGTGTGTGCATCGCACCGCCGTTGTTCTTCGTGACGTGGTGCTTAATTAAGCATATGGACAACTTTACCTTTGCCCTTATTTGTTTCAGATGTAATTAGTGGCCCTAACGCAGCCTGATCATGTATCTGCATGGGCGTCTCGTCCCGCTAAGACTGTGGAAATGGCACGCGTTTACTTTGGTCGAGAGTTCAGTCAGTGGGAAAACCAGAAGGAAGGGTCTTAGAGATAAAATGGAGTAGTATGGACTGATCTGGCCCAGGATAGGGGGACCAGTGGAGGGCTCTTGTGAATACGGCAATGAACATTCGGTTTCCATAAAATGCTACGAAGTTCTTCAGTAGCTGCAGAATTGGCGGCTTCTCAAGAAGGGCTCAGCCCCATAAGTGATTGAGCCCATACTATCATATCTAATATGTAAGCACTGAAAATGTTTTTGATGTGGGTATGTGAAGGCGGTTTATAGTTGATTATTTTTGTTAGTTATTCGTTGGAGGCGTTAAACGTCAGCCTCGACGCATCGTTCGGCAACGTGTAGGACAGGTAAGGATTGAAACAGAGGGCAAAGAAACTTAACAGCACGGAAGTTTACACAAAAATTATGACTTCCATTGTGTTAGCAACAAGTGTTACACTAGACGTCAAATTGTGCTGTGAGGTAATTCATTGCGAAACCACGTCTTTCAGTTACCATTCGTTTATGATGATTCCGGAGAATAATGTCTTCTGGAATATGACATAATCTGGTAGATGTTCACCGACGATTCGGATGACCGTGTTGCTTCCATCTTCAGTATATAAGAGTAGTCATAGTGCGAAATCTCACGTGACTTATCTCTTCTCATTACAGTGAACTTGGGTTTAAGCGGAGCAGAGCTCCCTACCGAAGAGCCGCCCACAGTGAACCAGTTCAAGCTCTACACGAGGTCAGCGGATCTTTGTGTCAACGAGTCTAAGTGGACGGTGGAGAGAGACGTAGTGAAGACAGACTTACAGACACAAACTTCTACATCACATTTAGTTCTTGAGAAACGCCAGTATTCGGGAAAAGAAAACAAGAACTTTTGGGAAGAACTGTTCGCCTACTTCTCTTTGTTACACGGACCCCATAGAAATTGACGCCTCCAGCAATTCATCATTACCGCTGGAACGTGTTTAACGCACGACAGGGGAATACACATACACACACACACACACACACAGACAGCACTGTGAACTCACCACTCTACTATCACTTTTTCAAATGAGAAAATTATACTAAAAATTATCCATATCATGTTGCTGCCTTGTCACAACGGGATGGCGCGTCCTCAGGTTGCGGATGGATGAGACGCCCTCCAGGTATGGAAGGTAGCTGCCAAGCATAAGCAGTCGCGGACAGCCGGCAACAGGCGGTCCTCAAGCTTGGGGGTTAGGCATGGGGCTAACAACTCCTCACCGTAAGAAATAAGCTTGTTACGAAAATTCTCAAGAAGCCTCGGACCTGGGCGGATCCTCTGGATAAACGACCCAAGCCAAAGAAAATGAGATTTCGTACATGGAATGTACGAAGTTTGTATAGGGCAGGTTCACTCAGGGCAATGGCAGAAGAAATCTTAAAATATAAGTTAGATTTAGCGGGAGTACAGGAGGTCAGATGGGATGGAGGTGGCATCGCACCAGCAGGAGACTATACATTTTCCTATGGAAAGGGGAATGAAAATCATGAATTAGGTACAGGTTTATTCGTACATAAGAGAATCGTATCAGCAATTAAGAGGGTAGAGTTCGTAGTGATAGGATATCATATATAATAGTAGAAGGTCGCTGGTGTGAGATCGTTGTTATGAATGTTCACGCCCCAACAGAAGATAAAATTGATGACATAAAGGACAGATTCTATGAAGAACTAGAACATGTATTTGATAAATTCCCTAAGTAACCTATGAAAGTTTTGTTAGGAGATTTCAATGCCAAAGTAGGGAGGGAAGACATTTTCAGACCAACAACTGGGAATGAGAGTTTGCATGAAATTAGTAATGATAATGGAGTTAGAGTAGTAAACTTTGCCACATCAAAAAATCTTACTGTCAAAAGTACAATGTTCCCGCATCTTAACATCCATAAATTTACTTGGACATCTCCTGATGGGAAGATACACAATCAAATAGACCATATTTTGATAGATAGGAGACGGTACTCGAGTATACTTGATGTCCGATCATTCAGGGCAGCAGATTGTGATACTGACCACTACCTGGTGGTGGCAAAGTTTAGGGAAGACACTGACAGTGAGTAAACAAAAAAACGCACAATGTTCATATGGAGAAGTTCAATCTCAAGAAATTAAACGAGGCAGAGGGTAAAGAGCAGTATCGTGTTGAAATCTGAAATAGGTTCGCGGCCTTGGAAAACTTGGGCACTGAAGTGGATAAAGCTTGGGAAACTATTAGAGAATATAAAAATTTCTGCCAAAGAGAGTCTAGGTTATTATGAACTGAAGAAGCATAAGCCACGATGCGATGAAGGATGCTAAAAATTATTAGACCATAGGAAACCAGCCAAACTGAAATGGTTACAGGATCCAAGCGAGTTAAATGGGGATAATCTGAACAATATAAGATGCGAAACCAGCAGGCATTTCAGGAACAAAAAGAGGGAATATCTGAAAGACAAAATTGATGTGCTAGCAATGAACAGTAAGAACATGAATATTAGAGACCTGTGTAGAGGAGGGGTTACCAGCCTAGCAGTAACCTAGTGAAGGATGAGAATGGTGATCTGCTTGCAGATTCCCACAACATTTTGAATAGGTGGAGGAACTGTTTCTCTGCTATTGAATGTACATAGGGTCAGTGATGTTAGGCAGATAGAAATACATACAGCTGAGCCATTAGTACTTATCCTAACCATTTGGAGGTTGAAAGTGCTATTGCAAAATTGGAAAGGAATAAATCGCCAGGTAGTGATCAAATTTCGGCAGAACTTATTCAAGCAAATGGTGAAATATTACGTTCTGGGATCCATAAACTCGTTAATTATATTTGGAATAAGGAAGAATTGACTGATCAATGGAAGGAGTCTATTATTGTACCAGTTCACAAGAAGGGTGATAAAACTGACTGTAATAATTATCGGGAGATATCGCTGTTATCAATTCAATACAAATTTTTCCAATATTCTTCTCTCAAGTTTTAGTCTATATATAGATGAAATTATTGGGGATCATCAGTGTGGGTTTCGACGTAACAGATCAACTGCTGATCAGATCTTTTGCATTTTTCAGATACTGGAAAGAAATGGGAGTACTCATGTAACTAGTTAGGCTGACTGAAATGTGTTTAAATGAACACTATATGTAAGCATTTGTCTGATAAGTGTCCTACCCAGAATGTTCTAAAACAAGGAGATGCTTTTTCGACACTACTTTTTAATTTTGCTGTAGAATCTGCCATAAGATGGGCCAGGAAAACCTGGTGGGACTGAAATTAAATGGGACACATCAGCTGCTGGTTTATGCTGATGATGTGGATCTACTGGGCGTTAATGTAAATACTATAAAGAAAAACACACACACTTTAACTGACGTAGTAAGGAGGTTGGTCTACAAGTAAACACAGAAAACTAAGTATATGTTGGTGTCTCATCAGCAGAATGCAGGAAAAAATCATGATATAAAGATAGGAGACATATGTTTTGAAAATGTGGCACAGTTCAGATATTTGGGAACGACGATAACAAATCAAAACCTGGTTCAGGAGGAAATTAAGAGGAGACTGAACTCGGGCAATGCTTGCTACCATTCAGTCCAGAACCTTTTGTCTTCTCGTCTGCTGTATAAAAACTTAAAAATTCGAATACACAAAGATGTCATTTTGCCTCTAGTTGTGCATAGGTGTGAAATTTGGTCTCTGGTATTAAAAGAGGAACATAGACTGAGGGTGTTTGAGAACAGGATGTTGAGAATATTTGGACCGAAGAGAGAGGAAGTGACAGGAGGTTGGAGAAAACTGCATAATCAGAAGCTTCATAGCTTGTACTCTACTCCAAGTACAGTTAGAATCATCAAGACAAGGAGGATTGGATGGACATGGCATGTAGCACGAATGGGGGGAGACGAGGAATGCACATAGGATGCTGGTGGGAAAGCCAGGCGGTGTTTTGAAATGGTGTCCAGTTTTCGCCACAGTATGCTTCTATGTTCCACAGGGCACACCCAGATTCTTCCGTGCACTTGGCAGAAGACGCGTCCAACCTCACAGTGACAGATTTCAACACCAGCAGCAGCACCGTCGTGATCATACACGGATACACGGAGAGCCACTCCAGCAACACGGTGCAAGCCATCCGTGATGGTACCTTGCCTACTTCCCTATTCAGTGTATCTGCGTATTTAAGATGACGTCAGAACATGTGGCATTTGTGGTATATTTAAAACGGTACCAAGCAAAATTATTTCCCTTCACATGTCAAGCCCATACCGTATCTCAGAAGATTTTTTCTTTAATTCTCTTAGGGGGGGGGGAATCCAGCTGGGTCCACTCGGCACGGCGGCCACTGATTGGCCTATTGTAGCCTGCCCCGGGTGATTATGATGATGGAGAATTTGACGGAATGAAGAGTGGCAGGGGAAACCGAAATACTCGGAGAAAATCCGCCCCAGCGCCACTGTGTCCACCACAAATCCCATTTGACCAGACCTGGGATCGAACCCGGGCCGCCGCGGTGGGAAGCCAGCGACTAACCGTTTGAGCTATGGCGCGGCCTATCTCGGAAGCTTACTCACAGGCATTCACAGTGGGCATGTCCGGGTTCGATAATAGGGTAGATGATGTATGATGTGGGACGGACAGAGTGGCACCAGGGCAGGTTTTCCTCAGTACATTTCGCTTCTACCCTGCTGATTATCCTTTCCCGGCACTCCACATCACCGGATAGGCTGGTCTGGATGCAACGCTAAGAAATTGTACCCCAGATCTGCTGGGATAGATTCTCGGTCCGGACACCAGCTATCCAGACTGAGTTTTCTTGCGTTTTCCTCAGGTTCTCCAGGCAACTGCCGGGTTAGTACCGCGTTTAGGCGGTCCCATCCAACCATCTGATGCTATTTTCGTCTCGATACGGAAGTGGAGTTACATATTGTAGCTTGTAGAGCCGTTACTATGTTAGGAACGCGAGCTAAGCAAATCTACCAGAGCCGATTCTAAGCAAAGGCAACGGCAATTAATACGCATGTAACAATAGAGGTATTGTTGTATACGGCGTTTTACACTCGGTCCGTGCAAAGGAATTATAAGGAGGGCAACTGAAGCAATAATATTTCATTGATATACACGTCCTCTCGTCGGAGAGGGCGCCTCACAAAAACAAGACCGTAACTGTCAAACAGTAATAAATATCTCGTCATGAGGCCCAGGTGGGGCTCGACACCAAGACTGCCGACTGACCGACCGTCGCAATGTGACCTTGATTTTGACTTGTCAGCAAAATCAGTGCCTGAGGTTTAACCAGGTCACCATTATTTTGGGCGACATAAATATGGGGACCTGGCCCTCCAGGTTAAGGGAGTCTCGAATCTGAGACAGTAAAATATGGTCATGAGTCCCGCGGGACTCAGACCCGAGAATGACTGCACTGGCGAGGACCAGCAGCAGTTGTAAATGACAGACCCATCCTCTCGTCAGAGAGGATGTTACATAATAACTATAACCACAAGTGTCCAGTTGGGGAAAAAAACTGCTTGTCGTGAGTTCCAAGGGGCTTGTCGCCAAAACGAACTCACTGACGGTAAGCCGCCAGTTTTAAAGTAACTGTGACTCTGACTGTCATCAGTTCAGTTCTTAGTTGAAAGTCCTGCTGTGAAGAGAAGACTTAGTGTGATATTTGGAGTGTGTAAGCCAGTGAGACTCTTATAGTTCTTGTATTAAAACCTGTTGCCTAGAAACGGCTAGTGGAGACTGCAATAGACTGATGACACTGCTGTGTGCAACAGCGAAATGTTCAGTGTAGAAATAGCGATGGCGCTATATATTGTGTAGTACGATCTATAAGTGTTCAATAAATCAGATATCCGATCCAAACCCCGTCTATAGGCAAAATCTATCACGTGACAGCATTTAGAATTGAAGCATGTTACCGCGTGAGGTAAGTGCTAAGTTCAAATTAATTAATAACTAAGAAATTTACCTGAAACGACAAAGCTCCTGATTGTTTTCGCGAGATATTCAGTTCGAATCCCGACCGGAACACACAGTGTCCTGAGGTTTTTGTGGTTTTCGCCTTATCTTCACAAAAATGTCGGGCAAGTACTTTCAAATTATGTTGTAAACACTTCCTCACGTCTCTGTTATTCATTCTCAGCCATCAGGAGCCCGGGATAGTTAAGTCAGTACAGGGACGGACTAAGGAATATATTTTTTCTTCTCCAAAGCTTCTAGACGGGCCCTTGGGCGCACCCAGCATCCCATTCAATGAGTACCGGGGCCTCTTCCCCCGGGGTTAAAGCGACAGGGGCGTGAAGCTGACCGCTCACCTCCACTTAGTAACAAGGTGAATAATATTGGAGCTATACCTACATTCCCCCACACAACTTCATGCATAGAGCTTAATTAATTAAGCACAGGGGACAATTTTACCATTTTTACTTATCATCTACCATTGAGCGCTATATAATCTAGAGATAGCGTCGGTAAACACACTGCAAATAGATTTGATTTGAACCTCTCGCGGTGGTGGCTATGAGGAGTGCTTTCTTGTGGGAAGTGACACCGTGTTAACCGACGTTTCGGCGAACGTACTGCCTCCACCTTCATTTTGCTTATTACTTGCTTCAAGGGTTATATCTTCTGAAGCATAACGCTGTGTAGTCTGTTGAAAGTCAACCGACATTTCGGATGATAATGTCGCCATGATGAAGCTGGGTGCTTCATACTGGTCTCTTGCTCGGTTTCTTCTTCGACCCTGAAGACTGATTTAACATATTCGTCCTAAACGTCCGTTAATTCTCGACAGACTACACGTCGATATGTCGCAGAAGATAACATTCTTAGTAACCACCGCTGTTAGTACACCAAGTTATGGTAATTCCTTTTTAGATTTTCGGCTTATGCTTTGACACTGAAATCGAGACAAATATGCCTGTGCAAAAGTCGATAAAATTCTACACGGCTTTACACCCTATAAGTGAGTAAGAATTCATACTGGAAACAAAGAATTAAGTAAGAAAGTAATTTATGAGAGTATATTATGACATGACTACTAAAAGTGAGAATAGCTGTGCCAGAGTAGGCGTTCATTGCTAGGCAACGACTCGGTAAAAAGGTTTCCGCGGCAACGAGTCAGCAAGCAACAATCAAGATCTTGTTGAACTATAATGATGCAACGGTGTTTTCTGTTGTGTCCGTCCAAAGGTCATATTACGAGGACCCCAGTCCAGCTGGATTAAACTTGAAGAGGAATGGAATTAAGCAGTTGATTGAGCAGCCCGAAATGATAGCGAAGAGAAGACATGGTGTGTCATAGAGTGGTTTGTGAAGTGTGGTAACAGGTAGTGTTAAGTGTACAACAAATTCGGTCAATCCAATACCCGTCTATAAGTCACGCACACCAAAATACGTGAGAATATTAATTTTACATATGGTTGTATATGGGTGTGAGGAGAAGAACAGGAAATTAAGAGACGATTGAACTCGGGTAATGCTTGCTACCACTCAGTCCAGAACCTTTTGTCTTCTCTTCTGCTGTCCAAAAACAAAAAAATTAGAATATACAAAAGTATAATTTTGCCTGTGGTTCTGTATGGGTGTGAAACTTGGTCTCTGACATTAAGGGAGGAACATAAGACTGAAGGTGTCTGAGAACAGGGTGCTGAGGAGAATATTTGGACCGAAGAGAGATGAAGTGACGGGGGACTGGAGAAAACTGCATAATGAGGAGCTTCATAATTTGTACTCTCCTTCAAGTATAATTAGAATGGTCAAGTGGATGAGATGGGCAGGGCATGTAGCACGAATGGGGGTAGATAAGAAATGCATATAGGATATTGGTGGCAAAGCCAGAAGGAAAGGTATCAATAGGCAGACGAAGTAGATTGGTGGATAATATTAAAATGGATCTTGGAGCGATAGAATGTGGTGTTGTGGACTGGATTGGTATGGCTCAGGGTAGGGACCAGTTGAGGGCTCTTGTGAACTTTCGTATTCCGTAATATGTCGGCATAGTCTTGAGTAGCTGAGCGACTGGCGGCTTCTCGAGAAGGGCTCTTCTCACAGTAAATGAGATCGTGTTCTTGCACCCCTCAGCCTACCTGCACGCGTCCGACTTGAACGTGGTGGTGATCAACTGGTGGTCACTGGCCCGCGGCCCGAGGTACGAAGTAGCGGCAAGGAACACGAAGGAAGTGGGGCGCAGTCTGGCCAACTTTCTAGACAACCTGATACGGGAAACACAAGGGGCGGCACGGCGAGACCTACACATCGTGGGGTTCAGCCTGGGGGCGCAAGTAGCAGGCATCGCAGCAGGACAGCTGACGACAGGAAAGCTTCTGCGAATTACAGGTACCTGCAATCCCACATCCTCTCGTATGTTCACTATGGCCATGAACAGGCTCACCACTGAGTGGGATGCCGTAGGCCGGTTATTCGAATCCCGGTGACAAACCGGTTGTCACGACTGAGAATTATAATGGTTTTACTCAGTCCCTCATAGCAAATACTGGGATAGTGCTTCTACTAGACCATGATCGCTTCCCTCGAAAAGGACCGAGGGGTCAGAGATTGAGTCCCGGTAGGGTAAAAAATTTTCTCTTCTCCACGTCTTCCAGACCGGCTCTGGGGCCCACCCAGCCTCATTTTCAAAGGATACCGGGGGCCCACCCACCTCCAACTAGTGCTGAGATGAAGAAAAACGTGTACCTGTACATGTATTTACATAAAGCATTATGGTTTTAACATAAAGATACTTTAAAAATATAATAATAAAAGGTCACAACAACAGAAGAGCTCAAGCAGTTGATACAATTGATACAATAATTATTGCCACATAGATTCATATACAAACACTGGTCAATCTGTTGTAACAAGGTTAAAATGCATAGTGATTGTACAGTTGGCCTGATGTTGACCAGCTAGGCCGAAGTTTTATGTAGCCAACTAATGGTTGCATTACTATTAATAATAATAATAATAATAATAATAATAATAATAATAATATTATTATTATTATTATTACTATCCNTGTACACAGTTGGTAGGACTCCTTGAATGGGGGATCAGCCAGTCGTAAGGCCGCTACCTGCACACAAAATAAACGCACAAGACATTCATGCATCGAGTGGATTTGAACCCACGAGGGGGTTATTGTGAAACAATCGGGCAAGATATTATGCACACCTTATCAGACAGTAGATTGCAAATATTAAAAGTTCAAAAGCGTGCACATCTAGTTCCAATAATCCAGAGGCCTTAGCGTCAAGAAAATGGCGACAAATCTTTAAAGCATACTGTGTCCTGTGGTTTCACGAAACCAAATATGTGAAACTATTGCATCGGCGCTGTCGGACGGAATTTGGAGTGGATGCCTCCCAATTATGCATTAAGGAAACTGTCCTGTGAGACAGGTTGTTGGGAAATAATGAAGTTCCTTTTTTTTTCAAAATAAATAGATGGAACAGGAATACCAACTTGACGTGTACAGAGTGACCAACAATGTATTGTGGCTACACAGCCTTAGATTCCAGAACATAGAAGTTTAATGTCGCAACATTTGAATGTTGTATTCTGGCCGTTTGCTTCGAAATATATTTCTGAAATAATTAAAAATCATTTTTGCTCACTCTCTATGTCACGCTGTGTTGATGGATTCTGCACACACATGTATATATATAAGCACTTTTTGTCTGTGAAGCTGCATACACAGAACATGACGTAGATTGCCATGAACTTCAGTAGTTATGAAATACACACATGTACCTGACATATATAAGGGTGACGGACAGAATGACGTGTTCCTGACAGCGCTCCCTGACAGCCCCTGTCCGGTAAAATATACTGTACGCACGTCAGATGGCCGCAAACGCTCGTGGCAACGTGTGAAATTTGTTTCATGTTTTGTTAGAACTGAGAACTGAGTTATGATAATTACTGTAACGTGTTGGGCCTATATGGAGCTAAACGCAGGCCTGCAAAGTATTTTATAAATCTATTCGATCCCGAGGAAACAATGCAAAGTTGATCTGACATGGGAAGAGCGGAAGGAATACCTGGAGACAAAACGAGATGTTCTTGGAAGAACTAGACACTTACTTTCATTTCATACGACACGGATCGCTTACAGAACAACGCCTCAAACTATCCTTTCATAGTTTCATGTGTATTCGATGTTGCGGTAATGTTTTTACCTAGCCGTTACCTATCAACGAAATGAGGTATTCGCATAAAGACACACAGAATGATGGGAGGGATTTGTGAAGTACGCCATTTAGATGGTTTCACGTGGCGTGATGTACATACCAAGTTTTATAAAGATTGATTCAGGCATTCAGAGTTTGATATGGGGTATTTAGAGACTCACAGACAGCATGGAGTTCCCCTAAGTCTACTTCAATTTTTTTAAGTGGGGAAAGTAGACTAAAAGACGAAAAGAAACGTCCCCACAATGCCACGTGAGAGACACGTCTCGAACTTGAAGACGAAGGAAGTGGTAAAGCGCTGGTGGTCAGGAATCTCGTATACGTGACAAGGCGGTAACAGATGAGTACGGAGCAATGGTTGAATGATGATTAACAGGGGATAAATCAAAGAAAATTGGATATAACTTAACTCCTACGCCACTTTGTCTATCATCAATTTCATTATGGCCTCACCCGGAATTGAACTCGAGGCTCCGCGGTGAGAAGGAAGCGTCTGTTACGACACGAACCTCCTTTCGAGGAAACCCGCTGTGGCTTCGCGGACCAACAATGTAGTCTTACTTCCGGCGGACCCCAGGTTGTACATGTCTGATCTAAGGGTTTAAAAATTTGAAGGTTTTAAAATGCATTTAGTCAGAACTTCCTAACACACGATACCGAGAAGTAAAATAGTTAGGAGTGTGTCGTTCGTACTTGGGTGGACCGAAGAGAGATGAAGTGACAGGAGGTTGGAGAAAACTGCTTCGTAATTTGTACTCTTCTCCAAGTATGATTAGAATGGTCAAGTCAAGGAAGTTGAAATGGGCAAGGAGTGTAGCACAAATGGGGGCGAAGGGGAATAGTTTTCAGTGAGAAAACCAGAAGGAAAGAGACAACTAGGAAGACCTAGACGCAGGGCGTTCGATAATATTAAGATGGATTTCATGAAATAGGATGGGATGGTGTTGATTAAATTTATCTGGATCGAGACAGGAAACAAGTTGAGGGCTGTTGTGAACACGATAATGAACCATCCTGTTTCCATAAAATGTTGAGACATTCTGAAGTGACCTAACGACTGCCGGCATATCAAGGACTCGGCTCCGTGACGTAAATTAGACGTACTGGGTTGTGACACCGTGCAGTCGTGTAGGCAGTTATTGTTATTTTGCAGGAACTTCAAGTTGGAGAAAACAGTTCTCTCTCACACACAAGACTACACGGTATCACATACACGTATACCAGGCTATAAAGACTTATCTTCTTCAAAACTTCAAGTATTATAGAGAATAATAAAAAAGTCACTCAAGTCATAATGGCGATTTGCTCTCCGGAGAGAGAGAGAGAGAGAGAGAGAGATAACCTGCAAAACATTTATAAAGATGCACATACGCACGATGACACTGAATCACTTCAAGCAAACTGAAAAATGATATTCCGTAATTAATCTGAATATTGCTGTAACTTCCTCTGTGGATGGCGGTACTCTGTACCATTCCAGACTTAATAATATATGGAGCTGAATGATCAGCTTCACGCCCCGGTCACTTTACCCTCGGAAAAGAACCCCAGTATCCATCGGATAAGAGGCTGGATGGGACCAGAAGCGATCTGGACGCTGTAAAAGAAGAGAGAAATTTCTTAAGCCTTCAGAGAATCGAAGCCCGGTTCCTCCGTCTTACATTCCATGGCCTATCGCAGTATTAAAGATATTTAATTCTTATATGAAGCTAAACTTGGGGGGGGGGGGGTTAATACTGAATGCGGCCAGCGAGATATGCTGGCTACGAACACAAATTCCAGGTACTCGCTCGAGACAGTGACCACCGGAAATGCAATCAGATCAGTTTTCTTTCACACAACGCGTAATAACATTCCCAACAAATTCATGTTCAAAAACTTTCACATCCCAGAACAAGAGAAACAGTATTTTGAGACGTGACTCCATGTAGTCTGGTAGATCTGTACAGATGTTTCGGAGAAACGTACGACCTTGACCTTTAGCTTTGCAGTATAAGCCCAGCAAGAAACCAGCAATAAGCTACAAAAGCTGGTGATAGTTTGCCGACGTTTCGGAAGAACGTACTGTTTCCAACTTCAGTACTGAAGAGTATGCAAAGAAAGAAACCAGCAAAAGAACATGAAGCTAGTAATTTACGTACAATTCGGAGGAACATATTGTCTCTATCTTCAGGGATCGTAGAATAAGCCAAACAAATATAAAACAGAGTTCACAATTTTCGACCCTGAAGATGAAGGCAGTTACGTTCGTCGAACACAAATTTGGGTGTACATTTGAGGCAAAGAACACACGATAATTTAATGCGAATTGAGACGCTGTTTCTAGGGGAGAGCACTAACGGACACCTCTATGTGAACAGCTCTGGATCCAGCGAAACCCATCTTCGAGATCAGGGACGACGCTGAGCGACTCGACGCTAGTGACGCAGAGTTCGTGCAGGTGATCCACACTGCCAGTGGCTTCCTGTCTTTCCTGGAGCCCGTAGGCCACGCCGACTTCTACCCCAACGGTGGCAGGGCCCCCCAGCCGCCCTGCCCTGGAGGAGAAGGTGACGTCTGAGCGTCCCTGGGCGCCGTGTATAGCCTTGTTTCCTTAGCTGTGGGAACAGAACGAGTACAGCTATAACTAGTCTGCTCAGTTCAGCGCACTTCATTCAGAGCAAGCTATTTCCAGTGCCGCAAGAGGCCATAACCATTGTTGCCAACATCGATATGTGTAGGAACAAATTCACGAGCTTACGTTCTAAAAATTTCTTTTTAAAATGTGCTGGTCATTCCCCTAGGCTTGTTCTACTGAATTGCAGTATCCACCTAGTTCTGAACCGAAGTGTCTACCCAGTTCTGAACTGGAATATCTACACAGTTCTCAACTGGAGTGGATACTTAGTTCTGTACTGCAGTGTCTATCTAGTTCTCAGTTCCATTGTCTACCCACTTATGAGCAGGAATATCCACCTAGTTCTCAACTGCAGTGTCTATCCAGTCTTGAGTTCCACTGTCTACACACTTCCGAACAATAATATCTACATAGTTCTGAACTGGAATGTTTACAGAGTTCTGGAGTGTTTACACAGTTCTGAGTTTCAGTGCCTACCCAGTTTTGAACTCCAATATCTACCCAGTTCTGAGCTCCAGTGTCTACCCAGTTCTGAGCTCCCGTGTCTACCCAGTTCTGAGCTCCCGTGCCTACCCAGCTCTGAGCTCCAGTGCCTACCCAGTTCTGAGTTTCAGTGCCTACCCACTGTGACCTCCCAGGATACTGGCCTTCCCTCTTGGGACAACCTGTATATAGCAGTACTATTCTGCGTAACCACTAGTTACGAAAAATATTAACTGGTGCTGTGAGTCACAATGCATTAAGAATATGTAACAACGACATTGTGAGTCACATGTCTTTACGCGTATGCTAGAGTATTGTTGTGGATAACCACTCTTCACGCTGATGGGGTGTCTCTCTGTACAATGTTACAGCCCTTGTGTGCAGTCATCACATGGCCTGTACTTACTTCGCCGAGTCTGTGTACCGTCCGCTCTCTTTTCCAGCCACCCTTTGTGATTCATGGAACAACTTCCAGCGCGGAGAATGTGATGGGAACCCCCCGATTTTCATGGGGGCCTTCACACCCCTCAGGTACAGTAGCCTCTTTCATCTTTGTATTTTGTAGTACTTTCTCCTGTGTTTTGTGTAGCAAGTCCAATCCCATTTCTGTAACCAGGGGCACTTGAAACGAAGTATTTCTTTCAAAATTTTTGTCATAAATATTTGATTCTGGGGGCTTCTTCGCTCGATAAAACGAACACCAGAAAAGAAATCGTGGCGACATTGCACACACTTTCTTGTAAACGGCAAAACTTGACTAAGTTCCACTGGAATCGAAGTATGTTTATTAATAATGTTATGTTTTAGCGTCCTGTTGCACTGGTTTATGTCCATGATTTATTCCAGCCGTCTTACAGTGCATACACTCATCCACTTCACTCTTCACTCCCGCACTACATGTTTCGGCACAAAGGTGCCATCTTCAGGTGCTTTTTGATTTACGTTAAACTATTTCACTGCATGCCCTGCCGTCTTCATACTAAAATAACTAAAAAATATATGTTCATCATCATCATCATCATCATCATCATCATCATCAGTAATCTGTCAAGACGACAGGTCCACAGTCTCTTTCAAAACAATTCCTCCACTTAATGCGATATAGAGCTTTCTCCTTCAAATGACAGTATCCTCTTCTGTCCCCAAGGTCATCCAGCATCTTCTTACGTCTTCTTCCTCGTCTTCTTGTCACTTCTATCCGCCCATCTATCTTTCCTTCGATAGCTTCTTTTAGAAGGCAGTTTCTGCGTAAAACATGACC